TATGGTACAAGACTCTGACGCTTCCTCAAATCTCTCAATTTAATTTTTATATAGAGGATACGATAGGCATTTTAAAGAAAGATAATTTTCGTCAAGACTCAGGAAAACATAGTCAATAAAACCTTGCTACAGAAATTACTATTTAGAAGATAAAGACATAATATTGTGCCTTTCGTAGGCACTGGTGACAGCAGCCTACCAATTTAAACTAAACAGTCGAATCAGCTGAGAAGCCGAGGCTTCACCCCGCGCGCCCCGCTCCGCGCTCGCGTTCCCCCTTCTCCCCGCGACGCGTCTCTTCCGCAGCATAATCATCGCAAACCAATCGGGACGTAACAATATATATCTTACTTATTTGCTTTTTTACTTTTTGTTTTAGTAACTTTATTATGTCCTGCACATGTATTTTGCTATGAGAAAGTTAGCTGTGCGCTATTTAACGGAATATTTACATATTCTTATTACATATCATATATTACATATTATTAACTAATATATTTTAAAAATAATATTTTGCTTTCTTAAAAATTAATAATATTTTGTCACTTGAATAATAATAATACAATGTAGGTGGCTATCATGAGAAAGAACTGTCTTTCATATGGTTGTTCTTTGTATGATTGTTCTTAATATATAATCGTTGTAAAAAAAATAAAACAAATATATACTTGAAAATTGACGAAAGCGAGATAGAAAGTTTTAATGCAGTTTAGTGCAGCGACAAAGCATAAATCAATAGTTTCAAATAAATCAAAAATTAACATTGAATAAAATTAATTTGCAGTTGAAATGAACACTTTTCTTTATGCAGATTTGAATGAAGAATATATCTTTTTATTTTTTATTTTTTTGTTTTCCTTATTTTATAATTTTTTTATTTTATATTATTTGTACTTTATATTATTATTTTTTATATTATATTATCTTATTTATCTTCAATTGTTACATCTGCGAATAATTGTAAACCGTAAACCGTAAAAACTGTAAACCGTGTTACCTATCGAACTCTGTTTAGAAAATCTCATATCTTTGTAATCGCTGGGTATCGCTCTTTCTACTTTTGTGTGAGGATACATAAATATTCTATCTTTGTTTTGGCAAAAAAACAAAGAGGTGCGAAGAGGTGCATTTTTTTAATGGCATGACAAATATAATTCAATATACAAAAAACGTGTACTTCTTGCAAATTTTATTTATAGTAGATTTCAGAAACTTTTCAATTAAACGTTTGTTAAAAATAAAACTAGACAAATAGGATGTTAGATTAAAAAAATGATTTTAATGATAAAAACTTTTTTGATGGAGTATCAGAAAAATCATTTTAATGATTATGCGCATGTTATTTTTCATTTCGCAATACATGTACATTTGCGTCAACTTATTTCCATAATACAATAAAATTTTATTAAACTGTTATTTTTTTTAAAATTGATTAATTTGAACCTTTTTGGAAGAATATTTATAAGGAGAACCGAAAATTCGGAGTTTAATTTTTTCTAATTTTGGCCACATTTTTCTATTTTCGCAACACTGTGCGGCGGTGAGACAACAAGACAATAAAAGCATCTTCTTCAAGGTCTTGCAAAAACAAAATTCTTTCAAACGGGTCTTAAAATTTTTCAAGTACGCGCCTATTACTTCTTGTGACGTAGAACGCAGCTTTTCTCAGTATAAAAATATATTGAGTGAAAAACGATGAGGCTTCAATTACAACAATTTAAAAATGTACCTTATGTGTTACTTTTATAAATAAAGAAAATTATTACAAAATGTGAAATAAAATTATTTTGAAAGTATTCGAAATAATGGGGAAAATCTGAAAATAACGGTTTAATGTATCTGCTATATTTAGTATTTTTCTCGCTTGCATTCCGTTCCTTGTTTCGAGTAACACCGTTGCCACACCACCGTCGCTCCCCACCATTGATACTACACCGAGCGTTGCAATCTTGAGCGACAGTGGGGAGAGCTAGATACGATCAACGCGATCTTAGAACTTTAATCCGGGCTCTATTAATATGTAATTAATCAAAGTAAAATTTGTGATATTACTACTGTAGTATTTATGCGTTATGTCTGAAGGTTATCAGCGCGCAATTATGGGAGGACTACAAATATAATTTATTTAATAAATTAGCAACTTATGTTTAATTTATTTTGTGACCCTGAAAAGAGCCATTTAAAATTTAAAAAGTACGAGAGAATTGGCTGAATTTTAGTTTACCGTTTTGGTACCCAGAATTTCCTCCTGATCAAATCTCAGAGCCGATATGGCTCTGAATCTAACGGTAGCTAGTCGGTGATCCGTGCAAAGTGTTGTACAGTTCGTCCATCTTCTACTCTACGTCTCGTTGCGAAATGTCTTAGGATGGAATTGTATCCCCTCGATACATCCTCAACGATGCGATGGTTTCGTCTGCACAGCACTCGAGGAAAAATCTCTCGACGATCTCGGCAGCGACTACAGAAGCAATGGCTGTACCTCGGAGAGATTGACTTCCAGATTCTGAGATCGAATCCTGTCAGGAGACTTTGATGGCCTCATGATTTGATAAGGAGTTTTCCAGATTATAAAATCTCTAGTTTATTAGAGAGGATGAAAAAGCTCCGCCCTGATTGGTCACCTCTGATATCTTTAAAATTGTTTCCTGATCTAGCAGTAATTCCCCAGGAAGTTTTTCCTGCGGAGAGCTTCGAAGAAATTTCTTCCTCGCAGCTTGCTTCCACTGAGGAATAATCCGGTTCTTCATCCTGCAATAGGCTTCGTAATGGTGTTTCAAATAGGTTACACGCTCTCGTAGTTTGTCGCAAAAATGATTTCGAGCCATTTCGTATTTCGCTATTTTCCCAGCAAACACCAAATATACATACAATATAACGTGGAAGTAACAATTAATGTAACGGATATTACACTCTATTTATATTATAGGTGTATAACGTGGAAATAACAAGTAATATAACGAATGTTACACTCTATTTACATTATAATTATATAATCTTAACAAATAATAGGATCTCATTTTTACGACCGTACAATTGTTAAACAATAACAAGAAAGAAGGACGCACAAAGCAAAGCCTATCACGGTCAAAGCTAGATCAAGATGCTTATTATCATTATGTGTGAATTTATATATCGCGTATGTATTTCTCTCAATCGCGTGCCGAACATTTTTTTCAGACTTACAACGCAACTCTAAATAACTACCGCGGTAATATTACTTTAGTTAGATTGACAATCAATCTAACAAATTTCGATGCTTATAGCATCTTATTAGATCTTAATAATATGTTGAAAGACATATATTAAAATTTAATATTAAAGTAATGATAATTGAAAACTGTGAAAAATAAGATTGCGAAGAATATCACAAGTTGGCGTTTCGTCCCGGCTTCCACTACTGGACTCATCAGTAAGGTAATGTAGT